GGGCCTGTCCTGTGAGGATTGGGCCTAAACCAGCAGTCCAACAACCCCCTATGGGTCCCAGAATGCAAGAGGGCACTCTGCAAAGTTGCTGTCGCTCAGCAGCTCCTGCATTGAGCATCTGCCCCCTGGTGGTCATTGCACATCATAGGTACCAGTTGGACGGTTGCTTAGATTGCACAGCATATATATACATGTGAATATATACTTTTTTCCCAAGGATATGTTTATTGATTTTGGGGGGAGGGGGGAAGGGAGAGAGAAACTTCCATCAGTTGCCTCCTATTTATGTCCTGACTGGGAATCAAGCCCACAACCTTTTAATGTACTGGACAGCACTCCATTCAAGCCACCCAGCCAGGACTAGCATGTACCTATATTTTTAAAGGAGTATTTTAATAGGTATCTGCATCCCTGGCCAATGTGGCTCAATTGGTTGAGCATCACCCCATACACTAAGAGGTCCCCAGTTTGATTGCCAGTCAGGGCACATGCTAAGGTTGCGGGCTTGATCCCTGGTAGGAGGCAGCCAATCGATGTTTCTTTCTCTCTTACCCGCCTCGTTACCACCAGGGGCCCTTCTTAGTAGGTGTCTTTCTCAGGGTTCACAGTTACCACGTCCTTGACTTGCCCGGGCAAAGAGATAACTAGTTGAAGTTGAGTCCGTTTAAAATGGGGGAGCAGGGGCTTGAGGGTAACACAGTCACTGGTGGTATAACAGTGCCAGGACCCCCAGCAGCCCTCACGTGGCCCTTGAGGCGGCCTGAGGCCTCGCTGGCTGGAGCAGGGGCTGGCTTGGTTGCCCGGTCCTGTGTCACCCATCCTTCCTTGTCTCAGTCCCACATGTGGTTTCTCCTGTAGGGCCAGGTGCGCCTGTCCAAGAAGATGCTGGACCCGGAGAAGCCCCAGCTGGGCATGATTGACCGCTGGTACCACCCCGAGTGCTTTGTTGAGCACAGGGAGGAGCTGGGCTTCCGGCCCGAATACAGTGCGAGCCTGCTCAAGGGCTTCAGCCTGCTGGCTCCCGAGGATAAGGAAGCCCTGGAGAAGCAGCTCCCGGGAGTCAAGAGCGAAGTGTGGGTGGAGGGCCCAGGGGAGGGGGTGGGGGTTCAGTGAGGAGCTTGGTGGAGGCCCAGAGATC